ACTCTGTGGGGACCAAATTTCTGAACACTTGAAATGGGCACAATGTTTTCAGCCAAATAAACACACCACCTGTCTAGAATAGATATAATAACGTGTGCCCGCAAAAAACGACCTCAACAAGAAAACTACTATAGCCAACAACAGCCAACAAAAAAAAAAATTGTAGGTCAAATGATATAATATTCTTTTTTTTGGTGGCCAATATCCGGAGCTATGCTCCGACTAATTCGTTGGTCGACCCGGATCGTACACCTTGCAGTGGTGGGTGAGTCTCCCAACAAGGGTTTTCTGCATCCATAAGGACTCGAACTCGAGAACTTGCTTAAGCGACATCAAGTTGCATACCACTTGAGCCAACCTCTGTTGGTTAATGATATAATATTCTTTTGCATTATTATATATGTAAATGAAAAATATCAATAATAAAAAAGAGCTTGTGTGGCCAAAAAAAAAAGTGAGTACAGGAAATTCAAAATGCAACATGTAATTAGTCCGATCATGCCATATGGTATTAGATTTGCGGTTTATTAATGACTATTATTGGTGTTTCTTGGTTTAGTATATCTATGGAGCTGAGTACGTGTGTGACTCAATTAATCAATTCTACAAATAATGAAAGAACATGAGAAATGTGATATTGTACAGATATATATGGGCAAATTTTCAATTTTGTTCCGTTTACTTGTTTGAAATTTTTTTTTTGGTACACTAATTTTCTCAAAAATTCTATGGTGCCACATGTGGCACCATATTATGGTGCCACAACATGATGTGTCACATTATGATTGGTGCCACAACTATCACACATCATGTTGTGGCACCAATCATAATGTGCCACATCATGTTGTGACACCATAACTGGTGCCACATGTGGCACCATAGAATTTCTGCTAATTTTCTTCTAGTTAATAATAATATGTTATGTTGCAATTTGTATTACTATTGGGACATTATCCCGAAAATGATTCATTATGTCTTGGAATTAATATCATAAAAATGATACAAATTGTAATATAACGTACAGTTTTGATGAGTAATTTAACAAAAATGATACAAATTACATAACTTAAATAATATTTAAAAGACTAGCCGAGTTTTAGAATTCATAGTTTAAATAATCGAAATAGTCAATTATTTGGGATATTAAAGTTAGAATATAATTGTGAAATTATAATTAATAATTTATGAGAGATGGATTTATAGTCGATAATTTATGGTGGATGAATGAAAAACTAGTTGATATATAAGCAATGTTCTAAATGTCTCTAGGAGATTGACTGAGGCCTAGCGCCCAGGCGGAGATTAGACGGCGCCTAGACGAGGTTGAAAAAATATTAATAAATTTATTTATACTTTTCATCATTTATATTTTATACTTATATTATAAAAAATATATTAATTAATATGGTCAAATACAAAAATTATGCAAAATCTAATGCGTTCTTAATTATTGTATTAATTGTGTATTATTAATACTTTTGTTATAATTAATATAAATTTTGTGTGTAGAAGTTAAAATTATTTTTATTTATTTTATTTAAAATAAATTTTGTCCATCTAGGCCGCCTGGTGCGCCTAGGCATCCGTCTAGGCTGTCTGATTGTTGAAGCGCTTGGAACGGCTGTCTCGGCAAAAGTCGTGGTGACGCCTAGGTGCCCTCCTAGACTGTCTTTTAGTTAGACATGGCAAAATTCGGTTTCGGGCCGAGTCCGGGTCGGAATCGTAGGGTTCAGGCCAAGGGTGGGCTTGCCCTGAACTGTCCTGGACATATGCACG